AAACATGTTGAGGTTAATTGGTGATTCTAAATTGTCCGTAGGTGTGAATGTGAGTGTGCTTGGTTGTCTGTCTCTAAGTGTGGCCCTGCGATGGACTGGTGACCTGTCCAGGGTGTCCCCTGCTGTCGCCCAAAGTCGGCTAGGATAGACTTCAGCCCCCCGCGACCCTAGTGAGGATTAAGCGGTGTATAGATAATGCATTCTGTCATAGATTTTGTTACGGAACAGGTTCAGAGACTTAAGTGCAGACATATGACCCGGCACATCAAGCATAAAAATCAACAATATTTTATTCACAAAATCACAAAAAGTCATGTTTTCATGTACGTACAGAGTCCGCCCCCTCAACTTTTTCCCAACAGATGGTTATGGTCCACTCTGAAGAGTTGCAGAAGGTCAATCTGGAAGGCTGAGTCCTGCATGTTGTTATTTTGCCAGGTTTCCATTAGAGAAAGCAATTCCTCATCTCCCAGGAAACCTCAGGCCTCAGGCGTATTCGGTCCATTTTGTTGTCCAGCGAGACGACATTAGTCAGAAAGGGTGACTTGATCGACGATCTGTTAGCTTTGAGCTGAGCTAGCCAGCCAATCAGCTTTCCCCCTTTTCTGCTTCCGTGCGCACCGCTTCCTCGTGCCTCCACATTTGACGATGCCATATTGAGGTCTTCAGGAGCCGCAGTTTGCCTAGCGTAGTTTTTGCCCGAGTGAAACTGCTGTCACCGAACCATACTTCATCACACATGTATTTATCAACAGATTATTCTGAAAATTGACGTTCAGACCATTAAAAAAAAGGCTTAGTCCTGGGAGCTTGAGAATCAGCTGCACTGCTGCACGTCGCCATCTTGTGATAGCAGTGTATCTTGACTGAATGCATATTTTTTGTTATTTCTCTTCTCTATTTAAGAGTTTGGTTAGACTCTTACTTACCTGAGAATTTTTTTCTTGAACTTTGAAGAATGATGAGTCTTTTTTTCCCTATTTCTCTGCTAAAGAGGGAGCGTTTCTCCAGCATCACCTTTAATAATCTACATAGTTTATGCAAATGTAAGATGCATGTAAGTTGAGAACTATTATTCAAACTAAATTAGCTGATTTTATTTAAAAAGCATGTCTGTAGATACCCTGGCCACACACACACACACACACACACACACACACACACACACACATACACACATTTTGACTTCTGTTTATAGAGGACAGTCATACCCAAAGCCTAACTGAAACATGAACCTTGCCTCAGTTCACACCTAATCAGGGCTCCAGAAGCGTCATGTTGCCTCACTAGGTTGGTTTTTGCTCTCCTGCCTTTCAATCTAAGGTCACTTTCAAAAATCGCAGAAGCCTGCCCATCCATTTTCTATACCAACTTTATCTTGTAGAGAGTTGCAGGTGTGGTTAGGGTTAGGAGCCTATTTGAGCTGACATGGGGCAAAAGGCAGGCTACACCCTGGACAGGTCCCTAGTCAATGACAGGAGTCCTCTCTGTGCTAGCCCCTGTGATGTATATAGCAGACTGTTTCATTTCAGCTTGGCGGTGTTGTGTTATTTCCATATGACATATGGTGTATTTATTAACATTTGCCTAACTCGCATTTTTGTCCCTAATGTCCCCGACCCCTACCACTATTCCCAGGCATTTGTCATCTCCTTCACTTCAGACTTCATCCCTCGGATGGTCTACCAGTACATGTACAGTCCTGATGGCTCCATGCATGGATTTGTCAACCACACACTGTCCTATTTTAACGTCAGCCACTTCCAGGCTGGCAAAGAAACCTTGGATCCATTGTATCTTGGCTACCCCGTTGAGATTTGCAGGTGAGAAGGCAACCTTAGTTCACAATCTCTCATAATGTTTCAGGTAGTGAGACAACAAAACATGTAATTTGTAGGACACTATTTTGTTCACTGAATTACCAACTGCCACACTCTTGTTTTTGACTCTAAAGATATAAGGACTACAGAGAACCTCCTTGGTCAGCCACACCATATGAGATCTCCAAGGAATTCTGGGCAGTTCTGGCTTTCCGGCTGGTCTTTGTTATTGTTTTCCAGGTAAGGTAAAACATGCCGAAAGAAGGATTTTTTTTAAATGCTGTGACCTGTTGCCTAGAAACAGTTACTTTCTTTTTTTATTTTCTTTGACTGTTGTTTGATCTAGAAGTTGTTTGAGATCTTGTGTT